CCTTTGCTTGGAGACAGCCTAACATCTTCTGTGGGCCTCTGGGCAGGTGGGACACCCTCTGGGGGACAGGGCCCCTCAGACCTGAGAGTGTTTCTCAGTGGCTTTACCTGAAGCTCACCTTCAGCAGGAGGTGAAGTTGATTCCCTGACTTCATTTTGGTTAGATGTCATCTAGAGAGGTCGTAAGCGAGTTACTCTTGCTTGAAGTGACTTAAGGCATAAGGCAGCCTTGTTTGTGCCCGTCAGTGGGGTAGCAGGTCACATCCTTCCATGAGGTTTGAAATGTGCCAAGCTGCTTTGGGGCATGATTGAGCCATGATACTGGATGATATTAGGGCCACCTCAGAGGATCTGCATAGCCCCCGGGCCTCCTCAGGAAAACTCCTGTATCTGGAGGTCTAGGCTGTCAGGGCATGTTTTTCTTCCTATACTAAATCCCAGATTCAAGCATAGCTACCTAATGCATTTTCTTCCCTTGGTTAACTTTGAGCCGCAAGATAGTCTGGATGCCAGCACTGTGTATTCAGGGTGGGTGGCTCGCTAAGTAGGACTGGCCACCTAGAGTCCTTACTGCTGGAAGTTGTCCCTCTCCGCCTGTAATCCTAACATTCTGAGGGCTGAGGCAAGAGGGTCGCCATGAGTTCAAGGCCATTCTGGGCTATGTAGCGAGATTAGGATCCGCCTGGACTGCATAGTGAGACCCTGTCTCAAAAAAAGAAAAAAAAAGTCGTTGATTAGTCTGACCATTGGAAGGCATCACATCGCTTCCTACAGTATAAAGACTCAGACCTAGTAGCTCTGTGAATGTGATTTTTTTTCTGTCTGCACAGATTTGAGTTAGTTGCCATCATGTAAAAATCAGCCATTCAAAAATAAAAATTCAGATCTCTTTAATACTCAAAGGTATAGTGCTGCCCTATGGGCTTCTCTTGTGTCATTGCTGCTGTCTAAGGAGGAAAGCACATGAGACCATCGTTCTGCCTGACCTGCTTGCGCACTGATGGATAACTCCTTTGATGGCAGCTTCTAAGGAGACCAGGCTGGTCCTTCAGGGAAGAGGGACTGAGCAATGCATGGAACAGTTGCTTAGGAATGAAGGCAATAATCTTGGGTGCAGTGGTGTGCTAAGTGACCATTTTCCTCATTGTGAGAATGCTTCATTCATGGCCCAGGAAGCAGTCGCCTATCCTAGGAGAGCCAGGGGCACCTCTTATAATAAAGGCCCTAGACTGGCTCTCTTGCCCAGCACCCTTGGCCAACCCCCAGTTTGGTCTGGCCCACCTTTACCACTAGAATTGGAGCATAAAGAGAGGACTCAAGGAAGGGGAAAGGAAAGGCGCTCCTCCTACCTCATTTAAGGGGAATACATTGATGCCTGAAGCCATAGAGGCCTGAGAGACACTTTCTCGTTCATTTGAAGCTATAGGGGTATCCTCTCTTTTTTACATTTTTCACTTTTTGAGGCAATGGATTTGAGCATGTTCTGTCTTTATCTTTTCCTGGGAGTTAGTACAGTTGCATGGAGTACAGAAAACATTCTATTTTACAGTGTAGTTTTTTCGGAAGTAGGTAGAATTTTAATTTACTTTGAAACAGTGACCCCCCCCCATGCACAAAGTAGCTTCTAAGTTCCAAGGCTGTGCCAAATGAACAAGTGACAGCATGGGATCATTGAAGGAGCTTTGGAATCTGGCACATCTGGGCTTCATTCTGGCCCAGCTGTTTTTATTAACTCACAGGAGGTCTCAGAACCCCCACCAAACGGACTGAACAGCATCTCCTTGCTGGATGGTTTAGAGTGGAGATAATGTACACTAGTGCTGGGTACATTTGCTGTTTTCTAATAATGAATGTAGTTATTTGTTTGAGAAATTGAAACTTGGAGTGGGTGGGGAGGTGGGGAATAAAAAAGAAGGGAAGAAGAAACCCCATTTGGGTGATGGTGATTTGGGGATCGAATCCCTCTCAGCCACCATCAGACAGATCGCATTTTCCAGCACACGGTTGAGTTACCACAGCCTGGAAAACTTACGTGTGCTGCTCGTGGGTGTTGGTGGGTGCTGATGTGGGTGATGAACCAAGAGGGCTCCATGCTGTGGAAGGTGGGGAGTTGCTCCGAGCAGGGAAGGTCACTTCTGTTCTGCCCTGGCAGTCCCCTCACGTAAAAGAGAGGGGGGACTGATGTCAAAACTGGACTGCAGTGGAGAGTTGCTGAGGGGAACAGAGGAAGGCACGTGTGTTTGGGATCAGTATTTGATCAGCTGCCCCATCTGTGCTGGCCTTATCAGCGGTTTCCTGTTTTCCTCTTTATCATCTTGAGGGATTTCTGACAATCAAAGGTTTTTCTGACAGTGATGAGCTTCTTGGTACTGTTACTCATCTGTTTCTTGTTTTGGTGTTAATGGCCCTAAACAGCAAGGAGAATCTTACTCAGGTCCCTGGACCGTGGGGTGGGGGGTACACTGGCAAGGCACAGAGGTGACTGCCCCAAGGCACTGTGGGGGGAGGGCTTTGGGGGCTCCCCACCATTGTGCTCAGAGCCTGGCCAGTTTCTTCATTATGTTCAGTGTTGAGAATTGAGCCTTAAAATGTACAGCATTGTGAAGGTGCTGACATTGACGTTGCTTTTTAAAAATAAAATTAGACACAACTTGCTGGGGGAAAAATTGAAAATTAGATTCTCAAGAACTGTGAACCTTACAGGATCATATCTGGCCTTCCTTGTTACAGGAACTCTGGAAAATGCAGAAAGGGCTAAAGAAGAAGAAAAAAGAACCCAATCTGGTCATGTACCTCTTTGCGCTTGCTGTCGCTCTCTCTCTCTCTGCTCTTCATATTGACAACTCCTTACACACACACACACACACACACACACACGGGTGACTGCAAGTCTGGGAGGGAAGGGACACGGCTGCATTGTTTTTTTTTATCAGCTGCAGGCCTTTATGGACCTCCTTCTGAAAAAAGCCTAAGCTTGAATTCAGTTAGGCCTGATTCAAATATTAATTCTTTGTATTACTTCTCTATTGCTACATAATGTATTTAGAAACTTAGAGTCCTCCCATGTATTAGCTCACAGCTCACAATGAATAGGGGAAGCTGGGTAGGTTCTGCTACCTTCCTTGCTTTAGAATTTTAAAAGGCCTAATAAGGCCTTGGCCAGGCAGGCCTATTATTTGTAAGCTCTGGGGAAGAGACCACTTCTGAGTTCATTTAGGTTGTTAGAATTCAGTTCCTTATGGCTTTAGGGGTGAAAGGCAGTTTCCCGTCTGCCTTTTGATGGTCCCTTGAAATAAATTAACAGAGACAGATTAAATAGAAAAGACACATGAGCTTTCTATGTGCATAGACAGAGTCACATACCGTATTCCCCATTAGCCCAAATCATTTTCCAGGCTTATATGCCCCTTTCCCATAAGGGGAGTGGGACAGGGGGAACGTAGAGGCCCTAAGTGATAATTAGGGAATAAATGTTCCCAGAGACAAAAGTAGCTTCTAATTCTCTTGGAATTTGGGTGACCAGCCCACTGTCTTGCAGTGGAAGGCCATGCAGGTGCAGCCTTCTTTTTTGAGGTAGATGCCAGATTTCAGGTGGGACAGAGGCAGTGGTGCTCACTATTGCAGCCTAATTTTTTTTCTCTCCACTTTGAAAGTAGGGGTCAAAGCGCAGGGATGCTCTACCACTGAACTGCATCCCTCCCCCAGCCTTTTTTATTTAGTTTTCAAAAATTTTTGAAATAGTCTTGCCCAGTTGCCTAGGCAGGATTTGAACTTGAAGTCCTCCTGCCTCAGTGTCCCGCATGCTGGGATTATAGTCATGTGCCATCACACCCAGCCTGCATTCTGGTCTTAATGCAGATAAGACTTCCAGAGAGAACATTGGAGGGAGAAGCAGTACAGGGTTAGAGGGAACTGATGCTAAGCCTACTTTTAGGCCTTTTAATTTCCTAAGTTTAGATCGTATTGCTCAGCGTGCCCCCAGAGTGCCTCCCCTTGGGGGTATCCTTCTCAGTGCCCCATATGGCTGTGGACCTGAGGTCCCCCCATTTCCTTGCTGGCTGTCTACTGATGTCACCGTTTGTTGAAGAGGCTGCCCCCATTCTTTCTCAGGTTGCCTTCTTTATCTCCACAAAGTCCTTACCAAGTTCTTTTTACATTTAACTCTGCTGCCATTCAGAGAAAATCTTTTGTGTTTGAAGGGCTCTTGTAAGCCTTCTTGGCCTATTTCCCTGTTGCCATGTAATATAACATCACTGGGAATAGTACCTAGGGTGAAGGTCGTAGATCACCTTAAAATCCTTCCAGTTTCCTCTCCCTACTAGGTGACATGTCCTGTCTGGTCCTCTCTCTTTAGGTGTCATGCAGGCTGGGTGACTGGATTTTTGTTGTTGTTCTTTTTGAGTTTTTTGAGACAGGATCTCAGTATGTAGTTTAGGCTAGCTTTGAACTCAGGGTGATCCTCCTGCCTTAGCCTCCCAAGTGCCAGGATTACAGGCGTGTGCCACCACTCCCCAGGGGTGGCCAATTTTGAACGAGTTAAATAAACAAATTAGTAAGTGCCTCTGTGGTACCTGGTGAGGTTCTTTTATTTTATTATTTTTTTAATCCTTTGTGGGATCACTTTCATTAGAAATCTCTCTTGTCTGATTCAGGCAGGACATAGTTGTAAAGGGCCATCTTTGAAGTGTTGGTCATTGTGAACAGTGACTGTGATTCCTAACTCCTGTGCAAAGGAATAAAAAGAATCTCCCTCATGAAAAGCTTTCCTGTGTTTTCTTCCTTTTCCTGCACCTACCCCAAAGTTAGCGTCTCCCCTTCAGCTGCTGTCTGTGGAAGCACTGAGGGTGGGGAGGTGCCTCTGTCCTCAGACAAGTGGTGGCTTCTGTCGGGGAGGCTGGCCCAGCCCGCAGCTGACCCCTGCCACTCAGCAGGGAGGCCGGGCCGAGGATGCCATGTTGCCGCCTGCTGACTGCTCACCCGGCTCTCACTTGTGCCCCTCAGGAGATCCTCCGCGAGCTCACGGGAGATCAGCTGGATGCCCTGCTGGAAATGGACGAGGCCAAGGTGAAGGAGACGCTGCAGCGCTGTGGGGCCAGCGCCGAGGAGTGTGGCCGCCTGCAGCAAGCCCTCACCTGCCTGCGGAAGGTGACGGGCCTAGGTAGGTGGGCCTTGCTTCCTTCCTCTGCCCCAGACCTCTGCCCATGTCTGACTCCCAGCTCTGGCCCCAGGAGGTGGGTACTCTGCCCAAGCAGGCCGTGGGGCAGGGCAGATGTGGCTTGGGGCTTCTGGGCAGTTAGGAAAGGCTGGGGTAGATGTTCAGAAAGTATGTGATGGGCCTGGGCCAGGAAGGAGGGCTTCCCAGGGTCCACAGGTCTAGATCATACTTGGTCTGGCCAGTCAAGCCCAGGAAGCTTTAGCCATTGTTAGAATCCCTGCTGGCTGGCCCTGTGTGACCTGCCCCCAGGGAAGGTGTGTGGGGTAGGGGGTGCTCTCCGCCAGCTTCCTGCATTCCATTCTGTCCAGTCTGGCCCCAGCCCTCTCCCCTCTTGCTGCCAGCCCCAGTGGCATGCTGAGCTCTGTGCTCAGAAACACATGCTGATGTGGGCTTAGCCTGAGCCAAGCACAACTAGAAAAATGTTGTGGTTTTTCAGCTGGAGTCATGTATATGGCTGTCCCAGCTGAGTGTGTAATCTTACATTATGATGAGGACCTTGGGAATTATTCACAGGCTCTCTAAATCTTGTCTTGGAAATAGCTTCAAATGCCTCACTTAACACCCCTTCTCCACACAGATGAGGCATTAAAATGAGCCTAGTGAATGGAATTAGGCCCATTTTTAATTATTTGAGCTGCCTGTCTTATCTCTGGCTGCCTGGGGCTTAAGGAAATCAGTAAGGTTTATATTCTGCTTGATTTTTTTTTTCCCCAAAGAGTATTAAATTTAATTCTTCCCTAGCTGTTTTGTACCAGGGCCTCTGAACAGAGTATTGTGTAGAGAATTTCACCCAATTTAGAAAATCTTGATCTGCAGGCAACCTGGCAGGTGCTGGAGATAAATGCCAGTGGCATGACCCATGTTCTCATCCCTACAGAGGAGGAGGCTGAGCCTTGAATCCAGCCAGAGAGGGAGGAGGGTTTGGTCGAGGACACATCAGCTGCTAATGGCTGAGGTTGAGGCTTGGACTCCACCGGTGACTGGGTTGTTTCCCGGTGGTGGAAAGGCTGAGCTCCCTAGCTGGGATCTCTGGGTAACACTTGAGCTCGTCTCACTGCAGACCTCTGTGTGACCTCTTAGAACCCATGGGACCGTGGCCAGGTACTTGTGCTCTCCGTGCCTCATTTTCCTTATCTGTCTAGTGGAGATCATAGCATCCCCTCTCTCAGGATTGTTGTGAAGATGAAACAAGTTCAGGTGCTGTGCTTAGGCACTGCTTTTTTGAGTATTAGGCTTGTGGAGTGATTGACATCATGTCCGTTGTGATCTCCGGTCATAGGACAGGAGAGTGACAGATGATTCTCTGTGCCGGTGAGCAGAGAACGATCATTCTCCCTGACATTCCCCACCCTTTATCCGACACAGCATCACTAGTCAGTCCATGAACTCTTCTGTGAGCGGCTCCGCAGTCACTGTCAAACAGCTGCTGCTGTGACTGGGTGGCATCACAGCAGGTCCCCATTCACCATCCTTGAGCTGACCCAAAGCAGTGGTGATTACAGGCAACTTGAAGAATCTGGAGCCTGTTTCCTTGATGGCAGACTAGCCCACAGATTTGAGGAACTGTTTCATTGTCCCCTGAGCAGAAAGCACGTATCCAGTGCCTCCAGGAGGCCAGTCTTAAGCCATGTTATTGTGGTGCAGTTCTAAAGGAGCCTCAGCATCAGACAAGGCTAACTAGCCCTGCCCAGATAACTAGAGACAGAAGAGAAAGCCACCATGAAGGGAAATGGGAGGAGGGTTGTTGGCAGAAGGGATAGAGCGCACAAAGGCACTTTATGAATTATGAACGTGAAGCCTTCTCTACTTCCATAGACCATAGATGGCAAGACCCGATCTCCTCAGATGACCTTGCACATGTCATTACCTCCGAAGATGTTTTGCTGTACACAAAATCCATAGTATTGTGGGAGAGAAGGGGCATGGTGCTGTGGTCGAGACTGGAGGGGTTCAACTCCCATCCCATCACACCCTTAGCCATCTGACCTTGGGCAGTGTCCCCGACCTCACTTGGCCACTGGGGAGAAGAGAAGCACTGTGGGGGAGGCCTAAGGAGATGGCCTGTGTTGTAGCACACAGTGGAAGGGCTCCAGTGCTGAGGTGCGTGTTCTCCCTTGCCATCCTCACTCTCCCATGGGGATGAGAAGAGAGATGCAGCTTCTCCTTTCTCTGACAGCCCTTGACTCTTTCCCCTGCCCACCATCCTTCACAGTCTCAGTACCTCCTCCTGGCTTAAACCTGTGTCATCCTTAGCAAGATGTCCAAGGCCTTGCCTGAGGTGGCTACAGCTGGACTGACCCTTCCGTCTTTATTTCTTGTCGTTCCTGGACTTGTCCCAGCCTCTTGAGGTCCAAGGGACTCTCATTGTCCGAAGGTGCCATGTTCTCCCATGACTTCTGTGAACAGGTTTTTTATGTCCTTTGTACTGATTCTTGCTTTTTTATTGACTCCTATGGTCTTGTTTGAATCATCTTGCAGCTGTTGGATTGTTGGTGGTGTATTCTCTTGCTTTGCACTTGCTGTTCCCCACCACCACCTGGTACACTTTCCTCTTCCTCTTGCCCACTGGCTCTGCCCTCACCCCCAGGCTGATCCTGGGTCCTCCTCCTCTCCAGGGCCCCCATGTTGTCACAGCTCCCAGCACACTTTGTGTGTCACTCCTCACTGGACTCAACGAGCTCAGGGTGTCTTTTTTATACTTTTATGTCCAGTATCCAGCAGAGGTTTGAATGAGGGGGCTGACTGTGCCACTGAGTTAAAACTCAGTTAAAGCCTCAAGATCTCAGTGGCCAGGAGAGGGTGATGGTGAAGGCAGCCAAGAGTCACCTTCAAGCTCCTCTGGGAAGGGAATGGCTATCTGAAGTTGGCAGTCTGCTTTGCTGACATCTGAATCATTCTCTGTTCTTTATTGTGATGCTGGGTATCATACCCAGGCCTCACATGTGTTAGGCAAGTGCTCTGCCACTGAGCTACACCCCAGCCCTTGAATTTTCTTTAACTGAAGTTTCCCTTTCTTTGCACATTGCAGCTTCTCTTTCCTAAGTCCCAAGGCTCAGTTACTGTTTCCTTTCTGACTGAGGTTGCACTGTGTTGGGGTGCATTTCCCAGCTTGCTATCCCCAGACATGATAGCAAGAGCCCTGCATGAGCCGGTTCCTCTCTGGGCCTTGCTCCCCCTACAGTGGAGACGGTCATACTGTAACTGAGCTGATGGCCTCACATCAGCTGGTTGATGTGGACAGTACCCTGGGTGCAGGAGAGGCCCTGTGTGAAGCCCAGCATGAAGGCTGAGGGTGGAGCCTCAGCTAAGGAACAGAGCCTCCCTAGACCTTCCTCACACCTACAAATCCCTGCTAGCCCCAACCTTCTGTGACATGTGCCCTTGGTCCACAGGAGGGGAGCACAAAGAGGACTCTGGCTGGAGCTCTTCAGATGCTCGTCGGGAAAGTGGCTCAGGGCCGTCCGTGGACACCCTGTCACCAGCTAGCCTGCCCTGGCCCCCAGGGAGCTCCCTGCTGGGCAGAGTGGGCGGCGGTGCCCAGGGCCCCCGCTCTGTCTCTGTGTCGGCTCTGCCCGCCTCGGACTCCCTCGCTCCCGGCCTCAGCGAGGGCCTCTCAGACACCTGTATCCCGCTGCACACCAGCGGCCGGCTGACCCCCCGCGCCCTGCACAGCTTCAT